CTTGGGGCCGAATGAAACAACTGTTACGGGCACAGTTTCTACCCACGGATTTCGAGCAGATACTTTATATGAGGTACCAACATTGTATGCAAGGGACACGCACTGTTAGCGAATACACGGAGGAGTTTAATAGATTGAGCGCCAGAAACGATTTACAAGAATCGGGTACTCAAATGGTGGCAAGATACATTGGGGGCCTTAAGGAAAGCATCCAAGATAAATTGGAGCTCAATTCGGTGTGGACAATGCCATAGGCGGTGAATTTGGCAATGAAAGTGGAAGTTCAACAGAACCGGCAGACTAAGACTCCGTATAATAGAAGGCATTGGCAGGAGCAGAACACAGTCAGTTCTAAGAGTAATTCCCAGCAAGTGACAAAATCAAATGCAATAGCCAATACGGGCACATCTGTAAGTAGAGCTGTTAATCAGGGCGGTGAAGAAAAAACGGCGAACAAACTGAAAACCCCTACTAACACCAACCCGTATGCACGACCCAATACTCTGAAATGCTTCCGCTGTTTTCAACCGGGACACAAGTCTAATGAATGTCCCCAACGGCAACAGTTGCAGTTTGCTGAACTGGAAGATGAGGATGAGGCAGCAATAGCTGAGTTAGAGGAGAACTTCGAGATTGAAGAAGTTCAGGCAGATGAGGGAGAGCCGTTTCTTGGAGTCATGGAGAAATTGCTGTTAGCACCGCGGGGGCCCAATTCTTCTCAGCGCCATGCTATATTTAAGACAAGATGCACCATACATGGCAAGGTTTGTGACCTTCTTATTGACAGCGGGTGTACTAAGAATATAGTATCCCGATCAGTCGTCAGCGGCTTACACTTGAAGACGTCTAAGCATCCTCAACCTTATAAAATTGGTTGGGTCAAGAGGGGCGTTGAGATTATGGTCACCGAAGCTTGCACAGTTACATTTTCTATTGGCAAGCACTATGTTTGCGAAGTGCTATGTGATGTCCTAGATATGGACGTGTGTCATTTGATATTAGGAAGACCTTGGCAGTTCAACGTCGACGCTCACTACGAAGGCAGGGCTAATGCTTATTCATTTGATTGGAAGGGACGGAAATTGAGATTGCTGCCAGGGTTGCCTGAAGGATCTGCTAGAGAAGCAAACAAACAAACAGTCGCCCACCTGGTCTCTGGATCGAACCTACTACAATGTTGGAGAGAACATGCACCGATGCTGGCATTGATCATTGCGGAAGAAAATACCAGTACGCTCCCGAAGAATTTGCCCAAGGATATTACTGAGGTCCTTGAGATGTATAAGGTAATTTTACCAGATGAATTACCTGCCGAGCTGCCACCACTCCGGAGTATCCAACATCAAATCGATTTTATACCGGGAGCTTCGTTACCAAATTTGGCACACTACCGGCTTAATCCGAAAGAACAATCTATTCTTGCGGGAATTGTGGAGGATTTACTGTCAAAGCAACTCATCCAAGTTAGCTTGAGTCCTTGTGCGGTGCCCGCTCTTCTGGTACCAAAAAAAGATGGGAATTGACGAATGTGTGTCGACAGTAGAGCTATAAATAAGATCACTATAAAGTACAGATTCCCGATGCCACGCATCGAAGAGCTGCTAGACATGCTCACGGGTTCTTCCATATTCTCTAAATTGGATCTCAGAAGCGGATACCATCAAATTCGCATTCGTCCTGGCGACGAATGGAAAACGGCGTTTAAGACGCCTCAAGGGCTGTTTGAATGGAGGGTGATGCCCTTCGGTTTATGTAATGCACCTTCAACGTTCATGCGTATGATGAACGAAATTCTAAAGCCATTTCTTGGGAAATTCTGCGTGGTATACTTCAATGACATTTTGGTATTCAGTAGTGACCGCCCACAACATATCCAACACCTGAGATCCATATTTGAAGTTCTACACATGAACAAACTGTTTTTAAACCTCCCAAAATGTGAATTGACAACAGTTTCTGTCCGATTTCTGGGATTTATAGTATATGAGGAAGGCATTCACGTGGATCCAGGCTTTCACTGGGGCGACGAACAGCAGCAAAGTTTTAACCAGATTAAGGCAGCACTTACTACTGCACCTGTTTTGGTGTTACCGAGTTTTGATAAAATCTTCACGGTAGAGACAGATGCCTCCTCAATCGGTATTGGAGCGGTGTTGTCCCAAGTGGGAAGACCGGTTGCATTTTTCAGCGAAAAACTCTGTCCCGCTCGACAAAAGTGGACAGCTTATGAGCAAGAAATGTACGCAATCATCCGTGCGTTAAAACAGTGGGAGTCTTATTTGTTGCATCAAGATTTTGTTCTATGCAGTGATAATAAGGCACTACATCATTTGAACACTCAAAAGAATGTCAATAGGATGCATATGCGCTGGCTATTATTCCTCCAACGATTTTCGTTTACTATCAAACACAAGCTAGGGGTCGATAACAAAGCCGCTGACGCACTCAGCAGAAAATCAATTTTGTTGACTCGACTACAAACAGAATTAGTGGGCTTGGAACATATCAAAGAGCTGTATGAAGAAGATCCTGAATTTGGTCCAATTTGGGTTCACTGCTTACAGGATTCTCAGTTTGAACATTACTCCATTAGACATGGATTCCTCTTTAAAGAAAATTGCTTGTGTATTCCGCAGTCATCCTGGAGACAACACCTTATTCGCGAAATTCATGGGGGCGGACTAGCAGCTCATCTGGGTAAAGATAATACACTAAAACAGCTCCAAGAAAAATTCTTTTGGCCCCGAATCCGAAGGGATACGTTCCGTCTGGTTGAAAGCTGTTCCGTATGCCAATCATATAAGGGAGGTTCACAAAATGCTGGATTGTATATGCCATTGCCGGTACCCGATTCGATTTGGGAAGATCTGAGCATGGATTTCGTCCTTGGGCTGCCAAGAACGAAACGCGGAAACGACTCCATACTGGTGGTTATTGATAGATTTTCGAAAATGGGTCATTTTATTTCATGTAGAAAGACCTCTAATGCTTTGCAAGTTGCTAACCTGCTCTTTAATGGAATTGTCCGTCTACATGGTTTGCCTCGGAGTATTACATCAGACCGCGACGTCAAATTTCTTAGCCATTTCTGGCGTGAATTATGGAAACGATTGGGCACGGAGCTGCAATTTAGTTCAGCATATCACCCACAGTCGGATGGGCAGACCGAAGTCGTCAATCGCACCTTGGGCAATATGCTTCGTTGCCTAGTTCAAGAGAACCCGAAGCAATGGGAAGAGGTCTTGAGCAAAGCGGAATTCGCCTATAATGCCATGCCAAACCGTTCCACAGGTAAAGCTCCATTCAATATTGTTTATACTAAAGCCCCTAATACAACTGTCGATCTCACTGTCCTGCCCAAGTGCAAATCTACCGAAGCGGCTTCCTATTCCAAAGATTATTCACAGATTCTAAATGAAGTTCGACAGCAACTCACTTCTGCGAATCAACGATATAAGGAGGCGGCTGATAAACATCGACGGCAGCAGTTGTTCAACGTTGGGGATCTGGTCATGGTTCGTCTCCGACGTGAAAGGTTCACACCCGGCGAGTATTCCAAGCTAGCTCGCCGCAAAATAGGACCTGTTCCTATTATTGCCAAATTCAATGACAATGCTTATCGTGTGGAGTTACCATCAGGATACAATACGTCGTCTACCTTCAATGTGGCTGACATATGGCCTTATCATTCCACAGACGACGCACCTATATCTATCAGCTCGTCAGAGTCGAGCTCTTCTGAAGCCGGGGAGGACTGATGCAGCTCAGGTTAACTAAATAAGCCGGCGGTATATGCTGGCATTGCCTAACGAACTCCACTACCTAGTATTACCTTTTCACTTTTTCTGACAACACTTTTACATTTTAGTATCCTTACTTTATACAATTACAAAAGAGAGTTAGGGAAGAAATACAGGATACATATAGTTGAAAAAAGGGGTGAATAGACAGCTTTTTGTCATCTGAAATTTTACAGTATTCTCAAGAGAATACAGAGCAATACAAAGAGGTATTTCCCTGTGCCTTTTCCCCTACATTGTTTGTTCTTGCAATCTTTGTCTTCTTCCAGGTATTGCTGATCCTGTACAAGGACATCAAATTGGTATCAGAGCCAAAAATCTGGAAGGAAATGACTGACCGAGGCAAGGAACCTGTGCGGGAAGAAACTCGCACCATCGACGGAACCTAGAATCAAGAATGCGTCACTATGACCGTATGTTGATGTAAAACCTTCTTATTAAAAACTAAGAAAGCCATATGTCATTTATATAACCCAAACACACCTTATTATTTTGAAATTATTTCATCTGTCAGTAAATATGAATTTAAAAAAAATATTCAATCTATCCTCTCAAGGCTTATCCTAAATTATCTAAATGCTTTATGACACTTTGAAAGCTGTTTAGACACCCTATAAAAAGGTACTAACAAGGACAAAATAATCTGAAATTTTGCTTCTTCATTCTGCTACATATGTGAACTTTAATAAAAAAGATAATATAACTCCTTATATTATTACCTGCATATCCATCGGCATGCTATATTGATGAAAAACTTTTATTTTGAAAGATGATCTATAGAGGTGGGAGTGTTGTCATCCAGATTTTGCTCTATTAAAAAGATTGAAGTGTTTAATATTTTGTATTTATTAGTGTAATATATTATTATAACTGAGGATATTTTCTTCTTTGTTTCTCATTATTTTCTTCCTGTTTTATCTCTTGTATTTGCTTGCATATATATGTATATATTAGTGTTAAATCAATCAAGCCAATTTATTGTTCTAATTATACATATACAACTACAAATATATAGTTTAGTGCTTGTTTTTGTCTAAGATTTTGGTGAGAATTTAATTCCTTGAACATAGCCTGGAGAAAGGAGCCATTAATGGCATCCATTTTTGTGTTGAAATGAGGAGGTAAACTTTGCGTTACCTAAAAAGATAAGTTCCACTTCCCATTATGGAATAAAGGACATTTGATTTTCTATTCTAACTGCATGTTATCTGCTGCAACAGATTTGATGCCAAGAAGATGTTGGAGAAACTAAGGGGTCGTCGACTTGTATTTGTTGGTGACTCCATTGGAAGGAACCAGTGGGAATCCCTGCTTTGCATGCTTTCGTCAGTTGTTCCTGACAAGAGCTCAATCTATGAATTGAATGGGAACCCTATTACAAAGCACACAGGATTCCTGATCTTCAGGTTCAGGGACTACAATTGCACGGTTGAGTACTTTAGAAGCCCATTTCTTGTGGTTCAGGCCCGCGCACCCCATGGTGCCCCAAAGAAGGTAAAAACTACGCTGAGATTGGACACAATTGAATGGACTTCGAACAAGTGGAGAGATGCTGATGTGCTGATATTCAACAGTGGTCACTGGTGGAACTATGAGAAAACCATCAGAGGGTTGGTAATCATATATCTATAATTTTATTTTCTAGTTTTCTTTTGTTATAAAAATTCATTAATGTGATATAATACTATTTTCACTGTTTGAGATCTGAGCACTTTGAAGTATTCATTTTTAGATGGTATAGGTAAGGAATTTAAGGACTCACTGTTTGAAATTTGCATGGTATGTTCTTGTATGTTGCATAAATTCAGTTAAATTTTCTTAGAAAAATTATATTGGCATATTTGGAGAATAAAGGCCTACATAATTAAAAAAATGCAAATGGAAATTCACTTGTTTTAACTAATGGAGTTTTGAGATGTCAAACTTAGCATAATTCTTAAATAGTTGTTCATTTGCTCCATTATTATTTGATTTTAGAGTATTTTACTACGAAGGTTGGTGTTTTAGGAATTGGGTAGAAGAGTTTATGGTAGTTTTTGGTCAATGTTGAGTACACATTTCTCCTTGTATATTTCTATATAAGGACATTCAATATGGGAGGTATTGTTTTGGTTTAATAATTGAAGTTTCATTAGGAACTTCAAAGTTAAGTGTGCTTTCGTCACAGCACTTTTGGAATAGTTGAGCCCCTAGGAAGTTACTGAAAAGGATAAAATGATGATGTTCATCCAATATGATATGTCTTAAAGGAACAATGGTTTTAGATGCTATATTTTCATGGTTGATTGCTTGGCACTAGATAGATTATTTGGCTTCATAAATTGAAAATTTATATAGTATTTTCTCCGCAACAGTTATTATGGTTTTTTTTTGGGTGCAAAACAAACTTTTAACAGGGTAGAGGTAGACCTAAAAATACTTGGTAAGAAAATATCAGAAATGATCTTTCTTTATTAGATTTAAACGAGAATTTGACTTTTAACATGACAGAATGAAGAAAAAGGATTCATGTAGCCGACCTCACGTAGTGGAACAAAGGCTTGATGTTGTTGTTCTTGTTGTATACTTTTGCTATTGTTTGTACTTTAGCTATAGAAATCTAATTTATTTTGGTATTTATAAAATAGTTTTGCTGGGCACAGTGTTTTTGAAATTTAAGACTGTACTATTTCATTTTTACAGGGGGTGTTATTTCCAAATTGGTAATAATGTGTACATGAATATTACAGTGGATGGTGCGTATCAGAGATCAATTAAGACATTATTTGATTGGATACATCAAGAAGTTAATACAACTAGTACTCAAGTCATCTTTCGAACCTATTCGCCTGTTCACTTCAGGTAGGTTTAACGGTTTATTTTTTTTTATTACTTTAACAAACAAGTTTGGTTCCTTCTGTTAAATTGTTAGATACACTTACACATTTACTAAAATTGAGCTATTTATCAAACTTACTTAGAGCATTGCAGGAAAAGAGAAGCATAATACTAAGTTAAGTGTGGCAGAGATGAGGATGCTCAGGTGGATGAGTGGCTTTACCCTTAGAGATAGGATACGAAATGAGCATATACGTGGAAAGGTTGGAGTAGCTCCAGTAGAAGATAAGATTAGAGAGAGTCGCCTTAGATTGTTTGGTCACATAAAATGACGGCCTTCCGATGACCCGTTTAGGTGAGTAGAGGTATTAGATTTGACTTGTGTTAAGAAAGGTAGGGGTAGACCTAAAAAGACATGGTTAGAAAATATTAGGAATGACATTTCTTTATTATATTTAAACGAGAATTTGACTTTTAATATGACACAATGGAGAAAAAAGATTCATGTAGCTGACCTCACGTAGTGGGATAAAGGCTTGATGTTGTTGTTGTTGTTGTTGTTGTTGTTGTTTTTTCTCCATTGAGGATTTGTATAGGTATAATTATCATTGCTATAGGTCATGAAATGGCTTTTCAATGTAGGAGACTCATCAACAAAATAATGCATTTGTTGTGTATGAAGCCATTAATGCAGGTTTACAGACCTCACTCAATAGAAATCAAACCCAAGCATGCAAAATTAATTAGAAACTGAGAGTCTGCTTGAAACAAAAAATTCTTACTATTATTGATTCTGTTCTTTGCAAAGATTTTGCAAATGTGACTTGCTCTTTTCCATGTTTTTGGTAGTGGTGGAGACTGGAAATCTGGAGGCAACTGTCACATGGAGACGGTTCCTGTACTGGGCAACTCACAGGTTTCACTGAAACCTTGGTCCGAATTCCTGAAGCCATTCAAGAACATGAATTCAGCTCAATCTAATGAAAAGTTTCCAAAGATTGAACTACTGAATGTAACTAAGATGACAGCTAGAAGAAAAGATGGCCACCTCTCCTTATTTTATCTTGGTCCGTCGGTTCGAGCACCGCAATATAGACAGGATTGCAGCCATTGGTGCTTGCCTGGTGTTCCTGACGCTTGGAATGAGCTTCTTTATACCCTTTTCATGAGGAGAGAATCCATGGAAGATTATAGCATTACAGACCTCACTCAATAGTTGACAGTAAAACAAAGGCAAAGCCAGTGAATCTTTTTGTGCTTGATGTGCTCAAGACTCAGAAGAGAAATTTCTATAAGCAACCAGGCTCTCATGCTTGATTGAGATGGCACAATACTGCATTGTTTATTTTGCTTTCAGTAGCAAGGATAGCAAATAGTAGAATGAGAAAAGAAAAATGAGAATAGGGTAGATGAGATGTTCAATGTAAATATAGTTTAAATTTTTACATACAATTTGCTTAAAAGGTGGAACAAATGTGCATATGATTATTAAAATGAATTCTACACAAAGTGAGCAATTTTAACATGTTTACAAGAATGAAGAATATAATTGCTTTGTTAGGGCATCTCCAAGCGAAAAACTCATTTTTCACTCTAAAATGCAATAATACACCAAAATGAGGTAATATGTCTCCAACCGAACTCTATTTTCTAACGCCAAAAAAGAAAATATTTCTAGTATATATTTTTTCATGTTTTATTTTTCGAACAAAAAAAAAACATATAGCGTATTGGTGTCGCACTGTTTACTCGCAAGTAAAAAATGAAAGATTTGACATTAGGCTGGAGCTACCGAACGACGTCATATGCATGTTTGATGTGAACATTTTGTCATACTCAATAAGGAAATGCAAGAATATGGAACATTAACTATTTTGCATGAAAATTCATGAGAAAAATCATGTGGTTTTGCTTGGTAAAAAATTTCTCTAATTTAAACTTGCACAAGTAATCATCTTTTCTTGCAACTGGAGCAGGCATTAGTACAAGTGCTTAAGGATGTCCTTGTTTGTGGACATGGTGTGGAATCTTAGGTTGTTTTGATGTAGATGATTGGAAGAGGCTTTTCCGCTGGAAGGGAAGTATGAATTGGTTGATAAAAAATAGTTAAAAATGAATGATTTTTAAGGGCAATTCTTTGCTTGTAAGAAGGGAGAATTAGATGATCATTTTGGCAAAAGAATAACTAAAGTCGCTTGAGACAAGCTCCTTGGAAAGGAGAAGAATTGGAAGGTTTTTTGTAGCAGACATTAAGCAACTATTAAATAAGGGGATTGATTGATGAATAATGAAAGATTGGGATTAAAAGAGCATTAGGAGGGTCTTCAAGAGTTCTAGGTAGCAGTTATTACAGCTCTAGGATTCTTGAATATTTTGGAGTTCAGGATTCTGTTAGACTGGTTCATTTGACCGATCCATACGAATCGGCTTACGAAAGAAACAGGCGGAAGTTCCGCCTCCTGTACGCACAATCCGATCGCCTCGGTATGAGAGAGCTGTTTAGGAGGGATTTTTGAGGGAATTAGGAGAGAAATTTCAAATAAGGGGCTGCTTAGAGTTTTCCTTTTGAATTTTATGCATTAAATAGTTTATTTTTCTAGGGTTAGAGCATATTGAATTTAATTGAAGTTTGAGATCTCTTAGGTTTTTTAGCTATAGCGGCGTCTAGAGATTTGGGAGAGATAGATCATCCTCTCAAATAGAGGATCAATTGTATCTTGGTATTTTCCGTTTCAATTTCATCAAATAATACAAATTATCTAATGTTTTTTGGTTTTGTGGTGATTTTTCAGGAGAATTCTCATTGTTTTTCAAAGATTGCTAGGAAATTCTTGAGATCTTCAAGTGTTTCCTATTAAATTCTTGAGACAAGCTCCTTTGTAAGGAATTCATATTTGAGTTGGCAAAAAAATGATGACAAGAGAGTGCCACTGAAATATTATATGTGACGTAATAATTTCAAATGTAGTTCTTCTTGATCTGACGGTTGGGAGCTTTGACTATCAATCAAGATGTCTTGATTAACGAATTGCATCATTAGCCGCAAGGAGGGAAATCACCAGTCATGGAAATCATGTACAAGGAGAAAGAAGCTGAGTCCGCTTTAGACAACTCCACTTATTCATTGGGTTCATTTAAATTCAAATTGGGATTTTATTTTTATTATTATTGAAATTGCCCAATTAGATGATCTTTTTACTTTACATACACTCCAAAATAAGAGATCAACTAATTAGTGAATTAATTTCTAAATTTACATTTTGAATGATTGTTTCGATGAATTTTTAGAATGCGTATCTTTTATATTCTTTGCATCTGATTGAGACAACTATAATTTTTTATAAAATGAATGTAAAATTATTATCTTTTAAAATGTCATTGAAAATAAATTCCTAATGTAAAAATTTATTTAAAATAAATTAAAAGCACTTATTCAATTAAATTTTTGATTATGATATAACATATAAAACAATAAAAAATTGTCCCAAAAAAAGCATTTGTCATCGGTGGTCATGCTTTATTGCTCGACCTAATCAAATTAACTGTACCACCGCCTGTTTTATTCGTGCAACAATCGTAACGATCTTAAAATTTTAATTTAACGGTCTGGTCCCAAAACTCCATTTGATTTGTAAGATTTTTTTAAATTAAAGAATTTAAGTATTCTTATTCAACTCAATATTAATAAGGGAAATTTACATACATATCACTTTATAACATCCTATTTACATATCTAACACCAAAAACTTTAATATTACATGCATACCACTCTATATTATTTTAATATCAAATATACCACTTATACTTCTTTCCTACCGCTCCTATTTGATATGAAAATAAACTATGGGTGGTATGTATGTAATATTAATGTTTTAGATGTTAAATTTGTAAATAGAACAATATTAGGTTTACATACATATAACCTTATTTATATATCTAGCATCCAAAATTTTAATTTTACATACATACCATCCATAGATCACTTTCATATCAATTATAGATGATAAGAATGAAATATACATGACGTATTTAATATTTAAATAATATAAGGTGATATGTATGTAATATTAAAATTTTAAATGTTAACTATGTAAATAAGATGATATAGGATATTATGTACGTATACCCCCATTAATAAAAGTACTTATTTCTTATATATATATATAGCTAAATCTTACAACATATTATACAATTTTAATCATCAACAACATAAAAATAGCAATATTAAGTTTAAAGCCTAAAAAGATATCTTTGATGAAAACATATTCTATCTGTCATCAATCCAAAGAAACATTTTTCTTTTCAAAAATATAACTAGAACTACTAAGATCATGCTAATTTAGTTAAAAGCCTCACAATTAGATGCCCCAAATTCACTTAAGGCTTCATTTAAGATGACTTTCTTACTGATTTTCGAAGCAATTTTTTAGAACAAAAATTTTATTTTAATTTTTTTTATTAAAAAGTTGCTTTAGAAAAAAAAAAACGTCTCAAATGAAACCTTGATTGAGTATAAACTATTTGATAACAAGAAGATGGCTGATTAAGTGTTAATAAAGATGGCTATCACCAATCCCAACCATTAGAACACTTGTTAAGCATAATAAAGGCAACCTAATATATATCTCTAATCTTGATTATAAAAACACTTCATAAGTCATAGATCATTATCCTCCACAAAACCTTGAAGATAAAAATTTCCTAATTAGCTACTAATTGACTCTTTAGGATCTCCTCATTACAAAATACATATAACTTGTCCACTAATCACTAAAAGAAGGCAAATTCACACAACTTGGTTCATTAGTCACCAAAGAGACTCACAACTCACCCATACTATCAAATTTAAACCATATTGATAGAAATCATCCCCATAACAATCAAGCAATGCAAATAAGGGACGGCTTTCTTACTGCTGCTTAAAGCAATTTTTTAGTATAAAAATAAAAACAAAAATTATTAAAAAAAAATATTTAATACGCATTAAAAAAGCCGTCCCAAATTAAGCCTCAGCAATCAAATAATAACTGAGCACAATAGTTAGCTTTATATCAAATCGACAGCAGATAACATCTGAAAGAAAAAAAAGCAGTTGGTAAATAGGTTTATATTATGCATATTGGTCTGAATTTCATTACAGCAGAAGAAAAGCCTAAGCAAAGATTATTTCAAAAAGTTATCAAAAGCCTAACAAACAAACACAATTCAGTCCGATTGGCTACAAACCATCCAGATCATATTATTGTAGTTTCGGATAGACCGCAGATGGACATCTTCCTAAAGTGTTCCAAAGTATGTAGTCCCCGGAGATTGTCTGGTATATTCAAGAAATTTTTTTGTAATTAGCACCCGAAATAAGATTAAAATTTTCATAAATATCATCTTTATAATAAAAAAAAGATGATTTTCTTTTTAATTAAAAAGCTGCTTTAAGAAACAGTAAGAAAGCCGTCCCAAACGAAGCCTAAGCAATCAAATTATAACTGAGCACGACAGTTAACTTAACATCAAATCGACAGCAGATAACATCTGAAAGAAAAGAAAGAAAAGAAAGAAAAGAAAGAAAAAAAAGCAGTTGGTAAATAGGTTTATATTATGCATATTGGTCTGAATTTCATTACGGCAGAAGAAAAGCCTAAGCAAAGATTATTTCAAAAAGTTATCAAAAGCCTAACAAACAAACACAATTCAGTCCGATTGGCTACAAACCATCCAGATCATATTATTGTAGTTTCGGATAGACCGCAGATGGACATCTTCCTAAAGTGTTCCAAAGTATGTAGTCCCCGGAGATTGTCTGGTATATTCAAGAAATTTTTTTGTAATTAGCACCCGAAATAAGATTAAAATTTTCATAAATATCATCTTTATAATAAAAAAAAGATGATTTTCTATTAAAAAAACGATTATTAAAGATGGTCAAAATTTCAGTCAGTAGTAGTAATTATTTGGATAGTTACAAAAGAATCTCTAACATGTTTAAATTTTGCCTAGTTTTTAAAATGTGAAAAAATATATATAGACTTCTCCAAAAGTCTTACAATGAAAAAAAAATTAAATAAAAAAAAACTTAGAAGGGGCAGACTAATAGAAGAGAAAGAGGAAGAGGAGGTACACAAATTGTAAATTCATGCAGAACCCAATTAGGATCATATAGTTTTGTCATCTCGAATTGTCGTGGTCCCTATTCTACTTAGTCAGAAAATGTAGTTGACTCAACCTGGCTGAATGAATCTTATTGGCATCCATGGATTGTTTCGTCTAAGGGTACCATATAGATTTGGGGTGAATGCTTTCCTATGGGGAAAAATTCGCACTAGCCTTAACTAACAGAGTTATTTGTCTTCATTATTCATTACTCAAAGATTTGAAGCCATTAAAAAACATGCGGGATTGATCTAACCACTTCATAAATCAATTTCCCCCTTTGGTTCCACTATTTTGTGCTGGCCCAAAATCCTAAAAGCCAAAATCCTAATTTCTATTTTACTAATTTTTCCTTTTGTCCAAACACTTGAGAATTTAAAAAATTTAAAATTTTATAAAAATTGGTAGAAGCCTCGCTGAAGATGTCCACTATCACTTCCAAGTGGAATTTCTAAAATCCACCAAATATTTTGAGTTTTGGAACAGTTTCTCACAATTGGTCAGTTGTAGAAAGATTTGACCAAGGTTGAGTCCAATGCCAAATTAACCCTCGTAAAATCCACCAATTGCACATCGTATCTAGATCAACACTTGAAATCATGTTAAACATCTATCAATTTTGCAAAAAAATCCCAACGCAACATCAGAAAGAGGGTGGGAGAGAGAGTTAGAAGGTTGGAGAGGGGTTGAGGTGGAGGAAGAAATTAGAGGAAGAAGAAAAGAGATGTTGGGAAAGAGGTAATGAGGTTGTTAAGAGTACACATTTTAGATATCTTGTGTTTATTGTTCAGGGTGATGGTGAAATAAATTGGGGTATTATTAGTAGAATTCAAGTTGGATGGTTGAAAATGAGGAATGCATCAGGCTTGTTGTGTGATAGAAAAGTCTCCCTCAAACTTAAGGGAAAATTCTATAAGATGGTGGTGAGACCTGCAATGTTTTATGGTGCAAAATGTTAGCCATTAAAAGAGAAGAATAATATTAAGTTAAGTTTTGCAGAGATGACGATGCTCAGGTGGATAAGTGGCTTTACTCTTAGAGACATTATACAAAATGAGCATATACGTGAAAATGTTGGAGTAGCTCCAGTGGAAGATAAAATTAGAGAGATTTGCCTTAGATGGTTTTGTCACATAAAACGACGGCCTTCCAATGACCAGATATCGGAGCATACAAATTGGGCACTAAAGTCACATGATCGGCGAGGTCGACTTGTGCTGCAAGATGGAGAGCGGGATACGGGCTTGTGTGTGGATGAAGGATATCGAAAGAGAATCAAAGGAAGTCGGGTTCCTTCGGCTGCGGGGTCGTGCGAGAAGAGGGATCGAGAGCAAGAGAACGAATGAGCGAGTTCCGTCTTTTGTCTTTGGTTTTGAGGAAACAAATGGGCAAGGGAGTTATGTGCGAACATGGTTAGTAGGTGGTTAGAGGTCAAGGTCAACAATCATTTATAAGCCAAGGTCAATTTTATCATTATTACAAAAATTAAGCTTTTAAAAAATAAAATATAAGCATTACATTGTTAATTATCTAAAAGAACCTCAAGACACGAGCATAAAAAATACCTGCGTAGAGAATTCAACTGGTGCTTTCACAGTTGGATAAATTCTTACCTGCAGATGAAAGATATTACTTGAATTAGATAATTAAATTATCACCATGCTGATAACTCGGTAATTGCAAACAATAAATCCCAACATGAATCGTTCCATAATCCATTCTACCAGAACATGTATGTTTTTGAGCATGAAAGTTATGAAGCCCTAGGAACCATGACTCAAGAATCAAGCAACAGCTCATTAAAAAGTTTTGTTGACAACTAAAAATTAGTAGATGACTTACAGATTTTGGATCAATGGACACTCTAGAAAGTGTGCCTCCTAAAATCTTGAAAGATACCTGAAAAATAAATATCACAGCTATGAAATGCAAGCTCCACAATACAATTACTAAAAATTGTAGTCGAACTGAAATAATTGCAAAAATCTCCGGAGTAACATATAGGTTAAGACTTAAGACAATTTACCGGCATAAAGAAGATACATGGGTAATCAATCAATTGATTATGCAAGTAGACCGATGGTTAGTAACTAAATTTGGAAAAGATTAATCGCTTCAAGCCAAATAATATTCGAGAAGTTCATGGAAAAGCGCAAAAACTACTTCATTACTCAAAATTCTATTGCAAACTAATCATATAGCCGATAAATGCCCTTCAAGCAATGGTAACCAGTTTTAAAGGCGATGCATTTAATGAGATGAAAAGCTTGGAATATTTAGATTGTCAAAATCTTCATCATTAGCATGGAAACACGCCAATTCCACAGCCCAACAAGGCCTACATGACAAGACTTTACTATTTGGCATTTCAAAAAGTATCTAGTCCATTGTACTAAATTAAGGTATCAACAAAAGGGTTGATAACTACTTTAGTTTAAGGCAAGGCCTAAGTTCCGAATATAATCGAAGTAAAATTAAAAATAATTATCAAGAACATCATTTTTTAGAATAAAAAATTTTATAACCAGTCAAGAAATAAATAGTACATCAAACAACTGTAGAAAATTGCTAGTTGGAAAAGAAAAAACAAAATTATAACATCAAATATAACTAAATAGCAAAAATACAAAAGTCCTAATAGAAGAGGAAATCCCAAGGAGCCCTCCATTAAAGCATCTTGTTTGAATTCTGGTAAACCTAGGAGGCTAATGATATAGTTTCTTTCTGTCCCTCTTGGTATAAAGAATTTGAAAAATTTGTCCACTTGTTCTTCTATTCTACAAATGCTAACATCATAGTCATAAGGCTGCAAATCTGGATCACAAAACCTCCAGAAACAGGATGATTTTAAGGAAATAAATAATAATACACTTGGTGGATCGGGATCAATAATCTTGTATGCATATGAGTTGTTGATCACCTCCATTGGGCTAAGGACACCTCTAGGAAGGCTCTGATTTCATGAGAGGATCTTAAGTGGAACAAAATTTGTGTACAACCAGATTAGAAAAAGTTGGGACCGCAACCATAACATTATTTATGGGTAGATTTGGATCATTTAAATACCCCTTATATCCTATTTGCTAGGATCAATCAAAGATAATTTCAACAACTCTGGGCGAGCCATAAAGCATCCCGTGAAACTATGATTAAAATTTTGCAATAAGAATAAAAAAAAGGAATGCCTACAAATTCTATCTTCTACCAACAACCATAAAGCATTGGAATCAATCAAAATTTTCTCCAAAGGAATAGCAACGTCCATCTCCATTAGGACTTTAGCCACTGATGACCTAGAGAGCTTAGAAGTAGCAATAATCATTTGAAGTGATTTCTCAAAAATAGAACCAAGAGAAAACGTAGTATATTGGTTGAAATGGTGAATTCTACATAGACGATAAGCAAACCAAATCAGAGTAATAGGTAGTTGCTTGGCACAAATAAAGCGGGGAAACAACTTAAGCATATGTATTTAAAAATAGTCCAAATAGTATGATCTCCTTGAAAAAAAAGTACCGAGTCAACTTCTAGTGATAGTTTAATAAATATGTGGAGAACCAAGAAGCCCAACAGAAATGTCTCCAATCAATGGCAAATTGAATGAGGATCTATGAACAATCTCAAGATTGGAGCAAAACTAAGAAAACTTGCCACAAATAGGGAGAGAGAAAGGAGCTAACTCAAAGATATTTCCATTAGAAAAAAATGATAGCAAGTTTATCGTAAAAGGTGGAGAGTAGCTTGTGATAAGTTGGTACTTAACCTTATTGAAAATATATAGAAAATTGAGTAGAGGAAGTTAATGGTTATCTAGGACACATCTTCCCCCTCACAATGTAAGTGAATTGTTGAAGAAGATTCAAAAGAAGTATATATCCTAGGTACAGGAACAACCAAAATGGAAGAATCATAATGAGGAGTCACTGGAGGAGAAGGTGATGGAGTCGAAGTAGGATCCAACCCAAAAGACAGATGGAATGGTTATAGTGGGATGATCCAAAGACCAAAGCTAGAAGACACGAAAGAGCACAATGTCCGATGTGAGAAGATGAATAAAAGTTTACGGCCAACAAACTACAGGTGGAAAGAAGAACTAGAATAAAGCATGCATTGGGCTGCCCTAGACGTCGAGGATGTAGATGGAGCATAGGTTGAGAGGGCCATGAACTGAAAGGACTAACGAATGTCATCGTCAGGCAGCATCAGTGCTAGGGAATAGAAGTGCAACTGTGATAATAGACAGAGTCACAGACTGACAAGGGATTCTGAGCATACGCCACAAAAGCAGGAAGCAAGCATCATATGATCGAGTGGAATGGAACGTGCAGCCCACAACGCCACAAGTGATTGGCGCAAGCTAGAGCATTATGTCCATGAGTAGAATTGAACATCATCATCATTAGCTTTATCTTAATTATTTAGTGTTGCCTTATGCATCCTCGTTCACTCGTTTTTTTATCGCGTACAGGAGGAGGATGGTTCCGCCTTCTTACGCATGAACCGATCTTGTCAGACCGGTTGGACTGGTCCAATAGACCGGTCTAACAATACTCCCCTCCCAAAGATCCACCTTATCCACAAAGCGGAAAGACAAAACCCTCATCCATTCCCTCTTCATCAGAAACGATAAGAACCTGAAGAGTCCGGTCCTTACACCGGTGCCACAGAGTATACTTCTTGTCGCATCTGAAACATAGCCCCTTCGCCCTCTTCTCCTGTAATTTTGTTTCTATGAGCTTCTTGATGTTGTCCCCAGGTCTTACTCCTATAGCCTTATCCTTGGAAGTCTCCCGAAAAATACCTGGTGTCGACTCCTTGGGTGCCAGAAATGTGGTGGTCCTCCTGTTCAAGCCTCCTAAGCTGCTGCCTCATGTCTCTCTCTTCAGGTGCCTCTGATCCTCCAACAATTGAGCTATCTCCATAGTCTCTCCTAAGTCACAAGGCCTCATTATTCTAATGCGACCCGGATCTCTAGTGTCACTCCCTTCATGAAATTTCCCTCTAGCACAGTCTCAGGATGACGGTCCAATCGGCTAGCAAGATACTCGAATCTCTCCCGGTACTCCATCACTGAATCATCCTATGTCAAGCAGAAGAACTGCTCGTGGAAGTCTCCTCCCCTGCCAGTTCTGAAAGGTTCTACCAAACAATCCTTGAACTCTCTCTAACTCTGTATGTGTCGTCGCATGTCCCTCCATTTGTACCAAGACAAAGCCTTCCCTTCCAAACATAGGCCCACTGCCGTCAGTCTCTCCTCCTCCGTCATCCCATTGACGACAAAATATCTTTTTACTTTGTAGATCCACCCATGTGCGTCCTCACCCTCAAAGATGGGCATCTTCAACTTTCTCACCCTTGGGTCACCCTCATTTCCCCTGAATCATCCATAGCCTCTCATTCCTCGAAGAGGAGGTGCTCCCCAATAGTCACGATCTTCCCTCCGGCGATCATACCCAAACCCTTCATTAAAATCTCCTCTTCTTCTTTCAAAATCAACACCCCGGAGATCAAAATCATCTCTTCTCCTTACAAAATCAGCACCTCTTCTTTCGTAGGCAATACTCATCTCCTCCATAGAAAGTGGTTCTAGAGGAGGCATTCCTTCTTCTCCCTCAAGGATCTCCACTTATGGATTTTCCCTTCCCCTCAACGTGTTAGGAATCCCACCTCTTCCATTGTCACCGGTAGTTTCCTTTGCCTCCGAGGTCGCCGAATTTGTTTTGGCTTCAAGCAATTTCTTCAACATGTCTTCCACCACGGCAAACCTTCCCTCCATTCTTTCATTGATGGATGTGATCTGATTTTGAAAATCCGAAATCTTCTCAAAATCTGATTTGAGTTGCCCAAGTTCTCCCTCCAGAACTTTCACTTTCTTTCCGGCCATTGGTTCCCCTTAGATCGACGTGCTCTGATACCAATTTGATAAGAAACACTTATAGATCTCAAGTATTTCCTACCAATCTTCGAAAAACAGCGAGAATTCTCCACAAAAAGATGCACAAAATCACAAAAACAATAGATAATTTGTATTATTTGATGAAATAGAAACAGAAAATAGCAAGATACAGTTGATCTTCAATTCGAGAGGAGCATAGATCTCTCCCAAATCTCTAGACGCCACTATAGCCCAAAGAAAACCTAAATCTAGGAGATCTCAAATTTCAGCCAAATTCAAGATGCCCTAACCCTAGGAAAACAAGCTATTTAATCCATACAATTCAAAAAGAATCCTCTAAACAATCCCTATATCCAAATTTCCCTCCAAACTCCCTCAAAAATCCTTCCTAAATGGCTCCAGCGGATTCGGGCGTGCATTCGGCGTCAGATATCGCGTACAGGAGGCGGATGGTTCTTCCTTCTTATGCGTGAACCGGTCCCATCATATTGGTTGGACCAGTCTAACATGAACCTAGGTATTTAACATGATTTAAGAATCGGGCAATCAAATAACTCTTGGATTTTACATTTTTATATCATCAGGATTTTCTAAAATCTACCATAATAGGATTTATAAAAACAATGATGAACCAAATATGTCTAAAAATTATTCATTCTTAATATCCCCAATCATTTGCATAATAGATTCGGGATGCTTAAACTTATCACACATGAATATCATCACTTGATCCTCCCATAATTTACATTGACTATAACTTCACATCTACTAAAATCATATATCACATACTTAAATCTTTCTTCAACTAATGCTAACACCTTTATTTCTAATGGTTTAGTTCATTGCTCTAACTTTGCCTTGACTTCAATGCTATGACTTTGTTTGGACACTTGCTTTTTCTCTACGGCATGTTTGGGAAAATCTTATATTGACGAACCAGCAGCACTATTTTGCCTTGTGTATCTAGCATTAACGGAATTTCTACGCTATATAAAAAAAGTCAGGGATAACAGTTCAAATTTTACTTAAAAATCACGGCATTTGATAAACAAAATTTCTACACTATATATAAAAAGACAAGGATATCAATTCAAATTTTGCTTAAAAACCATGACATTCAATAAACAATAGGTTGTAAGATTACTTTGGCATAATTATACGCTTGCCAGCAAAAGGGCTCCTCCAATTCTGCTGCTTGCAAGTCCTTGTTCATTACTTCCATTAAGTGCTCCTCAATGTTAGCCATATTATTGGGACCATCCTGATCCACATCACTATCTTCGTCAACTGTTCTCCCAGTAACCATTCTATTCAGAGTAGATACTTTTGAGGAAGTCCTGGGGAAAAACTTAATTGTTCCAGGGAAAGTTGCCTCGATGCTTTTCCCAGTGATACCCCGACCACTGATTATGATTTTCCACTCAACAGAATGCTCAGTCATTGCAACAGTTCCAATAGAAGGGTTCCCATCAAAAGATGATACTCTTCTTCTCGGAAATGGCATTGTGATAGTACAAAATTCCATAGAAAGTGGGGCCTTATAGCCTTCCATTAACCTTAATTTGAATAAAAATGCACCTTCATCCTCTGAGACCATTGAAAGTTGGTAGAAGCCTTTCACTGGAGGATCAAGGCTGCACGAGGCCGTATAGCGAATCAAGACAAAATTACCAAGTGGCGGAGAAAACATAAAGGCTTGCTTATCAACTCCATGTTCTGATACTTGAGCACAATGATGGAATGACAGAACTTCAACATTAGCTGATTTCAGCCCGGTTAGAGGAAGTGATACATCAGGCAATCCCTCTAACTCAGCTCTACAGTTTACTTGGCCTGAGATTGATATGGCATCTGAAATTTCATCTCGATCATACATTGCAGCATTGACAACTTCGTGAATAGCAAAAAGTATCCGCTGCTTTCCTTTATAAAGGTAAGGTTTCCATGCAGGTTGCTTGAGGTCTGCCAGCGGAGGATCTGCTGAAGAAAATCCATTGGCCCTTATCGCAGCTATGTTGGTGAAATTGAGGTCAAGAGGTGTCCCTGCACAAGTATTGATGAATAGGGGTGTAGTCCAAGTTAAATTAACCTAGTGAAAATTCCCATAAAGCTGTTAAATCTCAATACATGAGATGAGAAATACCATAACAGAAAGTACCAACCGAAGGGCATTGAGGCCGAAATAAAAGAGCGCAAAACATCTTTGTCAATAGGTCTGGAAGTACTTCTAGGAGCATCTGACATGACGGCACCAACCAATGAAGCACCTGAAGTAGTTAAAGCTACAACTGGTGCCAAAGCAGGTTTCGCCCTAGCAGAAATGCCAGACATTCCTATACTACCAGTTAGAGAATCAAGCAATCCACCAACAGAGGGAGATGAACTTGTAACAACCTCAGGGTCTGCCAAATCACCAGTAATTATGTCCCCTAAGGTTTGTGCAACTACACAAGCCCTAGAAAATAGAAGAGCATGTCAGCAAAGAAATCATCAACACAAATGTTAAAAATTAATAATAATTCCATCAGATGAATAAGACAGATATTCTACTACCAAAACAATAGAAGAAATAAATTGATGCATTCATGTTTTTAGTCTATTTTGTTTTGATGTATTTTGAACAATATTAGTTGTGTTTTATGTTTTTTTAAGCTATCCAATGATGGAGAGCATCCAATGATCATGGTAGGAAGTGCTTGGGTATGGCAAGCCTTGGGTTTGCTTGCATTTGGGTCCTTCTTGTCCTTGGGCTGCTTGTTGTTCTCGGTTTGGGGCCTTGGCTATTCACGGGCTGGACTTTGGCTGCTTGGTGTTGAGCCTAAAAAATTGGGTTCTACATGGTGTTAGCTCATTAATGCTTGAGCTGAAGTTTAGTTCATTAATTGGTGGAACAAATGCACTTCCTAGGTCATAAAATCAAAAAGGTATTCTTCTATTTTAGCTCAATTATTGTGGAGTGGACTTGTGTCTCTTCCTTTCCCCTTTGTCTTCTCGGTTTTCCCCTGGCTGTTGCTGTTCCCGTGAAATGCTGATGGGGTTCAGCCCCTTTTTCCCTGGCCTCCTCAGTTTCTGCTGGTTCCGCCCCTTTATTCTGGATTGGGATGAATTTGGCTGATATTTGGGATGCCTTTTCAGCTGCTGTTTGGTATGTCTCTTGACCTTCTATTTTCCTCTTTTTCATTGGTTTGAAAAGAGGTGGGTAGCTGTTTAGTTTCCCCTTTTCTTCCTATATATAGGGGCTGATTTGAGGCTTGAAAGGTTGTTGATTATCTTGAGATAAGTTGCTTAAAAACCTGAGGGTTTCTTCTCTTAGAAAAGCTTGAGAGCTTGTTCCACCCCTTCCTCCTCTCTATTTCATCTTGGCTTCTAACTTCTTCTTCTCTACGCAAGTTCCACTCCACCTGTATTCTTCTTCTTGAGCTCTTGGAAGTTGTTTGTTGGCTAAAATTTGGAGACATTTGCCGGAGGAGTTTGGTAGGACGTTGGACCCTTTTGCAGTGGTAGACCCTCGGTTTGCAAGCCTAAGCACAATTTTCATATATTTTCCTATTTTCATTGCATGTGAGGAAACCGCTAGACGGTTGTTCTGAAGATAGCGTTTTTTATGTTATTATTTTGTTTCATTTGATTTCACTTTTGTTTATCCGAATGTTTGTTTGGTTGTTTACAAGCTATAGTGAATCGAGTTTGATTTTATTTTGTCCTTGTGTTCTCCAACTTGGCTTTTCTCTTTAGTTTGCTTACATCATAAACCATAAAAAATGAAAATATATGCAATGAACGTTTGGCTCATACACAAAATAAGATATCTACAAAATGAGTTTCTGGCAAACATATACCGATGGTGTGCAATGTTCCACTGATAAGCCAAGAAACAAAGAAGAAATCACCAAGCAAAATGGTTATAAATTTGCGGCTAGAACTGGCCTTCAAAGTTGGGTGTCAGAGTTTTATCATAATTCAACATCAATCTTCTTAAAAAAAAATGCTACTAAAAATAATAATAAAGACAAGTAAAAATTGTATGCACATTATCATTTCAGTGAAAATAAAATAATATTATCATGATAAAGCCAATGGTAGGAAGGAATTCATCCCTATCAAGAAAACAATAAAGTATTGTTCCTACAAAATCAAAATAGTTACTGGACAAAATTAAAATTTTGAAGAGAAGAAACTACAGGACATCTTACTAGGAAAATGTCACACAAATCTTCAAGTATAAGCACCAAAAATATTTTAAAAAACATAGCTTTGGCTAGAAAAATAAAACTCAATTAAAATTAGCCTTTTTCTTCTGTGGAAAAATTATGGAATCCCTGAAAGACTTATTAAAATACTATCATGTCGCAAAATTGACATAGATAAAGATAAAAGGATTATTTCTATTAAAAAAATTACTTAGAACTTTGTCTCTTATTTTCTTATTAGTAGTTTAGTAATTATGTTTTCATATGAATACCCACTTGCAATGTTAGGAAGTGGGCCATTTGGTGGAGTTTAGTTTCATATTATCCAAAGAATTTTAGGGTGGATTCCCTACTTTTTAAGAGAGGTGGGGGAGAGGAAGCTATAGTGGGATCCAATATCTTGCCAAAATTAGTTTACCTAGAGTCCTACCATCTTTGGATTAGGCTACAGGAATCAAGGTACAAACCTATATTTCTCCAACCACCTCCATTGATTTGGTTTTTGTCAGACCGGTCCTGCTAGTCCACACGAGACTAGCCTAGGCGGAACAGAGGCTGAAGTTCCACCTCTCATTTACGCACCAAACGAACGCCTGGGTCCAAGGGAGCTGTTTAGGAAAGATTTTTTAAGGAGTTAGGAGGGAAATTTGAATGTAGGGTTTGTTTAGAGATTTTCTTTTGGATTGTATGCATTAAATAGTTTGTTTTCCTAGGGTTAGGGCATCTTGAATTTGGGCTGAAATTTGAGATCTCTTAGGTTTAGGTTTTTGGGCTCTAGCGGCGTCTAGAGATTTGGGAAAGATAGATCCGCCTCTCGAATAGAGGATCAATTGTATCTTGTTATTTTTCTTATGTTAGTTTGACTGCTGCAATAAAATTATTGTTTGTTTGATTTTTCCTTTGGATTTTTGGATCGTTCTCGCTATTTTCATCAAGATAGTTAAGTTTTACTTAGGAATTCCATGTATTTCCTAACAAATTGCTATTAGAGCAATTTCCTGGGCTAAAATAGAAGTCTTCCTCGTTGATTTCTGTTGTGTTTTCCTCTCCGATCTTGCTATTTTTTTGCAGTTTGGAGGCTAGATTCGCAGAGGTGAGGGATGGCGCAGACAACCAAGGAAGTGGGGAAAACCCTAAGCCGATTAGATGAAGGGAAGATCAAGAGGTGAAGATTTTGGAGGGAACATAAAAATGCCTCCCCTAGGGGCCTAGGGCTTCCTAGGGAGGAGTCGGGTAAAGGGTATGTGGATAGGCGTGAGGGGGTTAGGCATGAGTGGAGGGGTGTTGAAATTGAAAGAAGAGGGACTGAATTTGAAAGGCGAGGACTTGATTATGATCGAAGAGGTGTCGAATTAGGAGAGGGGTTTAATATGATCTGAATTTGAAGGGAGAACGAGGATTTGTGATAAAAGGTTTGGGTATGAGCAGAGAAAGGATGATTGGTACAATTGGGGGGAAACACCCCCTTGGGGAAAGGGAAATTTTGGAGGAAGCAGGGTTGATGGAGGAGATTTGAGAGCGAAGAAGTTGAAGATGTTTATTTTTGAAAGAGAGGATGCGCATGAGTGAAACTACAGGGTGGAAAGGTACTTTACTCTCAACAAGTTGATGGAAGAGGAGAGATTGTCAGCAGCTGGTCTAAGTTTAGAAGGGAAGACTTTTGCTTGGTACCTGTGGAGGGACATGCGGCGACTCATACAGAGTTGGAGGGAGTTTAAGGATTGCCTGTTAGAACATTTTCGAACCAACAATGGAAGGGTGTGTGACTTACTAATTGATAGTGGTTGTACAGAAAATGTTATTTCTCGTTCAGTCATGCAAGTCTTACAACCTATGTTGCACCGATACAGATACGACGACACGGATACGATACGATACGCATACGGGACATGTCAATTCTTAAAAATATAGGATACGGGTACGGCACAGTCACAGCATTATAATTTATAATCATACATAAAAATTAAGAAAGCAATCAAAACATAATATTTGAAATTACAAAAAAAAATGACAACAACATCATTTGTAGCATTGTAGCTTATAATATCAAAAAAAATATAAGTAAGCATTACATGTATAGTACAACAACAAAAGCATAAACATAAATTATCTAGCACATGAAGTTTCAACTATTCAATAGAATGAATGATATAATTATCTTCTTTATTGGTTTGTCTTAGAACTTCCATATCATGTTCAATAAATATCATAGCTTCTAATTCAGGCTCATCAAGTGAAAGATTAATAATTTTTAATATTTTCATATCATCAAGAGACTCAAATCCATCTCGGAAATGAGAGAATCTTGCTCGCAACCGCGCAAGTAAATACAACACGTCTTTTTTGTTTTCGGATTTCTTTTGGTTTTTCAACGGACACGCGTATCAGATACGCGTGTCCTTTTGAAATTAAATAGTATTTTAATTGGATACGGCTTTGGTGTATCTGACACGTATCAGTGGAGTATCAGAGGCGTATCCGTGTATCGGATACAGCACGCCTTCATAAATAGGTGTATCGGTGCAACATAGCTTACAACTTAAAACCACTAAGAATCCTCACCCGTATAAAATCAACTGGGTAAAGAAGCGGAAGGGTATTTTGGTATGTGAAATGTGTCGAGTCACTTTTTCAATTGGGAAACATTAGGTGTGCGAAGTGTTGTGTGACATTTTGGATATGGATGTTTGTCATATCATATTAGGGAGGCCCTAGCAATTTGATGTGTGAGCCATTTATGATGGAATATCTAATTAATATTCATTTGATTGGAGACTGTGGTTGCTACCACATTCTACCGACTCCACAAGTTCAACTAATGCTTCAAAAACAGTTATGCATATGGTTTCAGGTTTTGTCATTCTAAGCTCGTGCAAAGAGAAGTCTATGCTGTTAGTTTTGGTTGTCAAGGAGCATTGCCATTCCTCTTCACTTGCCAATACTCCTATTGAGGTGCAGAAATTACTTCAGCAATCCCGAACAATGGCCCAAAATCTTTGCCAGCCACATTACCTCACCTTCGAGCTCTTCAGCACTTGATTGACCAAATTTCAGGAGTTGTTCTCCCTAATTTACCTTATTATAGGCTGAGTCCAAAAGAGCATTTGATATTACAACAGCTTGTTGATGAGCTGTTGAAAAAAAAATTGATTCACCCGAGCTTAAGCCCTTGTGCCATACCTGTCATCCTTGTACTGAAGAAGGATGGGACGTGAAAAATGTGTATGGATAGCAGAGCAATCAACAAGATCGCTGTCAAGTTCAGATTCCTAGTTCCCATAATTGATGAGTTGTTAGAAAAATTATCATGTTCAACTGTTTTCTCCTAGCTAGATCTACATAGTGGGTATCAACAGATCTCCATTCGACCAGGTGACGAGTGGAAAACTGTTTTCAAGATTCACCAAGGGCTGTATGAATTGAAGGTGATGTCATTCGGGTTATGCAATGCCCCTTCCACGTTTATGCGACTAATGAATGAAATCCTTAAGCCATTTCTTAATAAATTTTATGTGGCTTACTTTGATGATATTTGGTGTTCAATTCCTCCTTGACCGAGCATTTACAACACTTGCAACAAAATTTTGAAGTACTGTAGCAAAATAAATTGTATTTTAACTTACCTAAATGCGAATTTGCAACCACTACAATTTATTTCCTTGGCTTCAATATTGCCGCTAATGGGATACGAGTGGATCCCTGAAAGATTAAAGCAATCTCTGAATGGCCAACTCAATCTTTTTTTGATGTACGAAGCTTCCATGGCGTGGCAAATTTCTACCGCCATTTCATACGGGGATTCAATATACTAGCAGCACCCCTTACTGATTGTTTGAAATTCAAACCATTAGTGTGGACACCGATTCAACAATGAAGTTTTGAAGCTCTCAAATCTGCTTTGTCTGCACCCCCTGTCCTTGCTCTTCCAAATTTTAAAAAATCATTTTTAAGGTTGAAACTGATGCATCATCTTTGGCGATAGGAGCAGTCTTAATGCAAGATAATAGACCCATTGAGTATTTCAGTGAAAGTTGTGCCCAGCCCAACATAAATGGAGTATGAATGAGCAAGAATTGTACGCAGTCGTCCATGCTCTTAAGTAATGGGAGCACTAATTATATCAAGATATTGTACTTCACAACAATCATAAGGCCTTACAATATATAAACAGCCATAAAACACTCAATCATATGCACGCCCATTGGATTTTATTTCTGCAAAGATTTACCTTTGTCTAAAAGCACAAATCAGGTTCAGAAAATCGTGTTGCTGACACCTTAAGCCGACAAACTGCATTACTGGTGCAATTATAAACTAAAATTACTGGATTACAATGTCTAAAAGACTTATACGAATCAAATAAGATTTTAAACATATTTGGTTTGACTGACTTGAAAATAAATTTGCTTCAGAGTATTCCATTAGGCACAACTATCTATTCAAAAATAGTTTCCTTTGCATTGATGATTCCTTCTGGCGTCAGCAACTCATTCGTGAAGTGTGTTGTGGTGGTCTAGCGGCTCACGTAGGACATGAGTAAACCTTGGAGCAACTACAGCTGCGATTTTTCTGGCCATACATACAACGTGACGTTACTTGGTTTGTGGAACGGCGTTCAAACATACCATGTCAGTAAGCAGAATATGTATTTACCACTGCCAGTTCCTGATACGATATGGGAGGACCTTTGTCTTGATTTTGTTTTGGATTTACCCAGAACAAAAAGAGGTAATGAATCTATCATGATTGTGGTAGATAGATTCGCAAAATGACACATTTTGTTGCTTGCAAGAAAATTTTTTATGCACTTAACATTGCCTGTTTATTTTTCAATGAAATTGTTTGTTGACATGGATTACCACACAGCCTTACATTGGATCGTGATGTTAAGTTTATTAGTCATTTTTGAGAGAACTGTGGAAGAGACTGAGGATTGAAAACAATTTGAGTTCAGCTTACCATCCTCAATCCGATTGGCAAACAGAAGTGATAAACCGTACTCTAGGCAATATGATGAGGTGCTTAGTGTAGGAACACCCAAGGTCGTAGGATGACTTGGTTAGTCAAGCAGAATTCACATACAATAACATGCCCTGTAGATCGACGGGTGCCTCTCCTTTTAGCAATGTTTACACAAAAGTTCCTAACCAAACTATTGATGTTGCAGTTCTTTCCAAGTGTAGCTCAAGTTGTTAATAAGTTTACACAAATATTGAGTGAAGTCCGCAACAATCTCATTGCTTCCAATGATAAGTATAAAATAGCTGCTGATTCTCACCGCCGAGCAAAGCTTTTTAAACTAGGTGATTTAATAATGGTCCGGCTTTGTCGTGAACGCTTAGCTCGTGGCACTTACTCCAAATCGGGTCGTCGTAAAGTCAATCCATTTCCCATCTTATAAAAAATTAATGATAATGCTTGTCATTGATTTACCTACTGAATTCGGTACAGCCTCCACCTTCAATGTTGCTGATATTCATACATATTACCCGGCCGATGATGCTCCCACCACCACTACTGCAGAGACCAAAGAGATTTCTCCAGTTGGGGAGACTTGATGCGATGCATCCTAAGCTTGAGGGAGTATCTTACCATTTTGTTATTTTTCTTGCATTATTAGTTATGCTCTCTCCACTATCATAGTTGCCCTTTTTGTTATTTTCTAGTACGGTTTAGCTTTCTCTTGGTATTTACCATTCCAGCTCATTGTTACTGCTGGTTATTATAGATAGGCATTGTGATAGAAAAGAAAACAGAAGAATAAACAACCTTTTGCTTAACACCCGGTTTATCCCTTTGATGTTTTCTCTATTCGTTTGTTGTTAACGCATACTTCTACAGATTACCTACATCAAGTACAAGCAGAAAATACTGGTTTTCTTAAAATTCATATAAATGATAGGAGGACATATCATAACTCTAGACCGAAAGTAACATGCAGTTTTCCTTATATTTACTATGAATGAGTTTGAAGGCATTGTCCAGAAAATTTGAAAAACAAATAGCTCCAGAGCCAAAATGATAATCCAAGCTAATAAGTTTAATTAATGTTGGTCATATTTTCACATCAATGAACTTAATATGAACTCTGGATCAAGAGAGGATGGTGAGCAAGGGAAAAACAGGTGGACAAAAGAGGAGAAAGAAGGATATCATTTCCTCACACCTCATCTCCCATACCCCAAGGGAAGAAGTGAACACGCCGAACCCAAATTCCCCCAAACAGGCACATGGCTTATGGCTTATTGCCATATAGCCACACAGAGAAAAAAGAGTTTGTGAACCAGCATGAAGCAATGCATTAGGAATATAATGGATCGTTCTATACAAATGACATTCATACTTCTAAATTGAAAGATTTTTATGGCATACTGAATTAAAGTATTTCCATGAAGTATGTATTCTTATTTTTTTAAGATTTCTCACATATACAAATATGTCATTATTTCTCCAACAAAATAAAGATAAAGACAAGAACAAAGAAAGAAATTCAAGAACAATATATTAACATCTCAATACTCTCTAGCTGGTTGCAGCATGTAGTAGTGTACAAAAAAATTAAAGTTAGAATGAGCATAAATGACAAAGTTACCTCGCACAATATAACTAGAAGTCTGCCTGATCATAATCTACAACCTCCCCCACAAATATACAATGACATGGTAATTTTATCCAACACCCATTAGCATCAGTTTTCACCGATTATAGAGAATAAATAATCTAAACGGTTGCTGTGTCCCATAAAAAGAAGTTAAATAAAGGAAAACATAAAACATAGGACTATATTTATTTTTCTCCTTTACTAAATCGTAGTGACAATTGTTTAACTTCCTTAATGATACAGAGTTTAAAAAGCAAGGAAGAAATTATTGCAAACACTTTTGAATATCAAAATAACTTACCATACCCTGTGATGCAAGGAAGATTAAGTAGAAGAGAAGAAAGGCCATCAACCACTCCGCCGGCATTTCCACAATCCGAGCGCCTACACATTCTCATATATGATTTATACTGTTGAGGTTCAACAAGAGGTAAAACAAGGATATAAAAGACACCCTTTATATGTAACACTAATGGCCACAACGTGTATTCATTTTCTTCCTCTCTGTTTATATGAAGCATTATAATGTGTCGAGTGATAGGATCATCAATCCAAGAATCTGAATCTTGAGTAGAATGACTAAGACGAATGCCATAACCACGAGCAGAACCTTCCCTGCCAAGATCAACCAGAAGCTTATCAAGGTTGATTTGAAAGTTTCCTCATAAGTGAAGATGGTTGAGCCATAAACTTGAAGAAAAAATTACAACATCATATATCATAAATTAGCCCAACTATGTCAAGAATATAAAGAATATTATATGTATCCAAAAAAAAATCTAAGCAATCCTCAAATCCTTAATCTTTAGTAACATTTCTTAAAACTTGAATAATCAATGACTGTGTCAGGAATGAGAGAAGTTGGAAATATTAAACAAAATAAGTAAATCGAGGATCAAAGAAAAATCAAACATCATAAGATTCATAATTAGAAGAAATACTAAGCGATCATGATGTTTGTATATTTGATAACAGTAGCATAAGCAGGTTTAAATATTACAAATTGACAAGCTTCAATCATAAAAAATAATTACTTTTGATGGTTAATTATATCACTTCTAAGGCTTATGATATTATTGTGATTGATAAGGTTAGCATACAGGTTGGCAGTTGAATCCCTTTGATATGATTCAATTTGAACATTCTAATCCCCTTCCCTTTTTTTCCGTCATATGAAGCAACAATACAGGTACACTCATGCCTTTTGTTATGTGGTTATATGTAATTTCTTTCATTAGCAACAGCAATCCAATGACTTTCCAACTTAAGACGATGAGTCCACTCTAAGAATAGAGTAGATGGTTTTCAATGATCACATGCGGCAGTGAAATTGAGAGCCAAAATTTTCTGCAAAGCCTCCCCTAGTAACATGGGTTACAAAGAAAAAACAGCCAAAATTGGTGCTTCAACCATCAATCAAATATGATAATCGGATCATCTTTGGGCTAAATATTGTCAAACAATTTTTTGAGCAATATAAATATTACTAGATGCTTAAATCCTATTTTGCTCTTGTTTTAGGCTAAATCACGAATCTGTTAAATCTTGGGATAGTATGATCTAAGAGATTTACACCACTTAATATTGTGTCTACTTCTCCTTCACTTAAATTCTAAATCTCGAAAATATCAATCAAATAGTTTACTACGATGAACACATATTTAATATATATTATACCAAACAACGTTAAAAAATCCTCCCGTATTTTCAAAATCTATATTTACAATATTTACTAAATCCTACTTGTAGCAAACACCTCCTAAATAAGGATCATTACCAAAAAAAAAGGAAGCCATGATAAGATTAAGTGAATAGGCAAATTTAAGTACTTGTCAAAAACACTTTCAATTTTTGAGGCGATACAACATTAAAAAGCAAAGCATAGATGCCCATTGAGATAATATGAAGTCCCTAGCACAGCGCACTGAAAGCAGATCAAAAGTTCACCAACCGTCGCTTCCTCTCAGCAAAAGCTGACGCCAGCTCCGGATCGGTTGGAAGCAAAGGTTTTACGCATCCACCATTCTCGCTGTCCTCGGGGTGCTCCTTCTCCCTCTGGCAAGCCAATCGCCAACGCTTCTCCACAACCGGAAATCTCCTGTTCGGAAAATCAAGAAAAGCAACGTAGATCGATAAATTATATTCGTCTTAGAAGGATATCACGTGGAAACCCTAGGAATAAATACAATGGGGAAATGTAGAGCAAAACTCTGCTTTGCCGGGCAAGCTTACCGAGAGAATACTACGGTATCTTGAAGGTTCAGAATCCAAAGAGCTCTGATGCTGCAGCCATGCATCCTCTCTGTCTCTCTCTCTCCCTCACTCTGTTGGTCTCGGATAGCTTTCCTCCCGCTCTTCGTGGGAACAAAACCATGAGGCGGTATGAGGGCCGAACCAGGCGTATAAGTGCGCGGACGGCTGGCTCGAATTCACTGTAGCACACATTATATATGAGCTCAAATTCTAGCTGGTATGAGCTGGTTTGATACATGCAAATTATTAATTCCCCAAAATCTATTTAGTATTTATTATGCCACCCCCTCTACTTCTTCAAAAAGCAATTAGATTTAACCCTTGTTCAACAAACTCTCATTATAAGTTCCCTCAACTTTGTTGGTCTCATTGTTGTCTTTCTCTGGTGAGCTCCTGTTGTGACTTCTCCCTTATTTATGGCCCAGTCGTCGCCTTTTCCAATTAGTTCCATCTCCAACTAGTTATATTCCAAGCCAACGGGATACTCGTAATAAGGATTTTTGAAATTTGGCTTGAGTTCACGAGTCGAGCTTGACCCTAATGTTATTCTAGCAATTTGAGCTTTAATAATTGGGGTTAGTGTTATGGTGTTATGATCTTGAATGCTAAGACGTTAGATCAATAAAAATAATTTTTTAATATGTAAATCCACTAACTCATTTTAAGTACCCAACTGATCCTTTGAGCCTTATTTCACATGTCTTTGGCCAGGGAAGCGAAGAGACGGGGCAGAGAGAAGAAATAGAAAGTTCATCTTGGGTCATTTCTCTTCGTTGAGCCGACTATCAAAGTTCTATATCTCTTGACATTATTTCTGTGTTTAGTGATTTTGATTTTTATATTTTTTCTCTCTAATATGATAAAATTTCAAAATCTTCCAATCTAGTGAACTTTCATTGTGTAAGTTTTGATAGGTCGTAGATATCTTCATTTTGTACGAGTTGATATGATCATATTGAAATTTTAATGTATAATTTTGTATGTATGGCATTTACCTAAAATAATAAGAATGAATACATATAAGAAATGATTTGTGATAGTTATATATGTTTCATATGGCATGCTTATGTTAGTCTATCTGAAATATCATGCATTCTAATATGAGTGCACCGATAGGACATGCATACTAATAAACATACAAAACCTATTTGTTATAGTTCATAAGACTAATATGATTTGCATTTATTATAAATTATAAAGGCATGATATGACGTATATGTGTATTTGCATGAAAGGCTTTATAGAGATTTGATTTATTCATCTTTCTCGGGATGTTACATTGTACAAGACGACGAGCCTACGAATTTTCCTTTAAATACATGTTTATGGTGTAATCTTAAAGGATATGAAGGGATATATAAGGAAATTGATTCATATGATATGATTGATGGGGAGTGATGACTCCTACTCAAAGTCACTTGACTTATGACTAATCATTCAGATGACAGGTATGGCTAATCCCTAATTGCTCTGATAGACCTATAGGTTACATGATGTGACTGATACATGAGCAAGATGTCTTGACTTGCATAGTACTATTGATATGTATGTACATGACATGATGATTTCATAGGTTATATATATGATTGAAACATGAACATGATATATGATGTGACTGATAAATTAACACGACATATGACACATATATGTGATACAAGTGAATTGATATAATATGGCATGTAATAGATACTATATGATACCATTCATAACATTGAATTGTATCAAGAACAAAAACTAATACAGTGAGATTCACTTGCATTGATAAATAATACAAAATAGGCATGATGCATTGATATCGTATAGAAATATACTGATAACTAATAGAAAAAATTTATGTTGTGACACTCCAGAATAGGTGTGTAAACAAGGCAAGTTGAGTCGAGCTTGATTTTGGGCTAACTCGAGCTCAGCTTGTCAACTCAAAGACATGCTCAAGCTCAAACTCAAACTCGAGCCCGAGCTCAAATGATGAGCTCGAGCTCGGTTCGCCAAAGTTATAGTGGACTCAAGCTTGACTCACAAGCTTTCCTCACCAAGGAATGAAGTTAGGATTCTTAGTAATTGTAGACAAGCAGCTCGAATTATTAGTTTGGCTCGTAAAAAAAAAAGAATGAAATGGGGATGCTTGGACATAAGACTTACAGTATGGTCAAACTCGAGAGACCAGCATAAACATTGACGAGCTTAACAACAACCAATTTGAGGAGAAAGACGAATTAGAGCAACCTTTTCTTTTGGGAGAAGAGTAATAGCACATTTTTTGAATAAATAAATATTATATATTTTGGAAAACTCAAACATAGCTGGCAAGTTACAAGTGCATTAATTCCAATTAATATTTTACATTTTTTTAATAATAATTTTTTTAAATAATGCAACTTTTTACATCTATTTAAAAATATCAACCTAATCGAGCTAACTCATGATCCGACGAGTCGAGTCTCATCAAACTCAAAATTGAGCTCATTTAATATGTGAGCTTGAGCTCAAAGCTCGATTCATGAGCTCATTTCCTAGTCTAGTTCGAGTCATCTCTACTCACTTACACCCCTACTCTATAATATCATAGAAGGATTAAATCTCTGAACCTAAATCTTAACTCAACCACAAAGAAGAATAAACTAGAGCTGCTAAAAATCCAAAATAATAAAATACCATATAAACATCATCCAATTTTTATTTATAAAAACTCATATATAACAACTCAGCTTACATGTAATCTATACATCAAAAGAATTAAAATTGGATTACATTATACTTCAAAATCCAGCTCCTAACAACATTGGCCTTAACAACTCTATCTCTACTCCGTTCAAGCCTTCAATATTATTGAAATATCAAAGAAATATAGCAAAAAGAGCACCATTAGCTCATTAGACTTATCTTGATCACATCATAATATTTAAGCACCTAAAATTTCAAATTAGTTTTAAAATGAAAATATGGAATTTTTTCTCAGATTTGCCGCAGCATTGGGAAGCTGAGGCAGTGGGCTAAAATGTGACTTGCTGAGTTGAAATATGCTTAGATTTTTTTTATATAAATTAATGAAAGCCCGCTAAAATGCACAAGTGTACGTGAAGATTATAATAATATACATGGTATAAACTTGTGTTTTTGTCACTAGAAGAAAAAACTTGCAATGAGATTTTGATGTTTATGAAAATAAAATATTTTAGACTAATGAATATTGTAGAAAAACAAGATCCGTCGCCGGAGAGGAAGAAGAGAATGAACAGTATAATAAAGATTTGTTTTATTATTCTTTTTGTGTGCTGAGTACATAATGCGATATATATAATATTTTGTATAACGGCTCTTTACACGTGGCCGGCTATCATAGGTTGTTTTTGAGTTAAGGACGCTTCTTGTGTTTTGAGCTCTGATAAATATAAATAACATAGTTTTCTTAATGAAACTCTTACTTTTTAGATATGTATCAGAGCATGTGCATCCCTAAATTTATGTTGAGCTTGTATGGGTGAAAAGAAAAAGTTCTAGCCTTCATATGAATTTTCTATCTCAATAGAAGGAATATTACATATCATATATCTAGGCATACCAAAATTCCATTTCAATACTTTTAATTATTCTAGCATTTCTCCATCGAGACTACAAATATGACCATTGTATGCTTTAAATAAAGAATGTGAGATAATGCTAACATTAATGTACCATTCAAGGCACAATATTCTATATTAGTACTTGTTATGCTTTTTAAATCATCTGCCAAAATCAGAGAATTAGTCATACATGAAAAATTCAACAAGCAAACTCATTTTTATTTTATTCATCAAAAAAATGGATACAAGAAAAGTAATAAAAAATTATCATCCATAAGGATTAATTGAACTTCTCCACACTCATTTCTCTAACCATAGAGTTGCTTATACAAACATGCTAAGATCTCCACAATGAAAGTATCTTGCACTATTTGCACTGAGATTAAATGATCTTCTCTAAAAAAAGAACTAAAAACTATTTATAGAAAGTACAGTGGCGGGTTTAAGTGCTGTGGCGCTCAATAAGGCGGTGTCGCAGTGGTATAAAATAAACTAGTTCATTAGCATTGCAATGTTGGCTCCGTTCGACGCTATCATGAGACATGAAAAGGTTAATGATTAAAATAACACATTATTTGGATGAGTAAGCATGACTCCTTGTGTATGTAATTGCTCCACTACGATGAATGTGAATTTTGGTGTTGAGGCGTTGCATGGCTCAATGCTTTGGTGCTCATTTTCTTGAGGCTCAAGTGTTGCAGTGCTGAATTGGAGCACATCGGTGTTGTATTGCATGACAACACTAACCTTGGTATCGCCACGATGCTGGAAAATAAAGAACTTGGTGTTGTCATGTTAAAATATGACGCTAAAGTACTGTTTAACCGTACATTGCGGCGCTGTCAACACATATAAATTTTTATTTTCTTATGAATATTTCGTACACAATTATCACTAAAATAACATGTTTTTTATAGAATTTAAACATATTAAATAATACACAATTTATACTTAACAAAATTCTTCGAACTTAAACTCTTGCATGTCCTCAAATACTGATAAAAATCACCTATTGATCACTTAATTGCCAAAGTAAAAAATTATAATTTAAAATTGCTAAAATATAAAATAATACATCATAATCTAGAAGAAAATTGAAATTATTAAAATTATAATACTAATTTCAAAGGTCATAACAATTATCCCAACCAATCATCCCTGTTATTTCTTGATTTGAATCTATTATACTTTGTATCTAAGTGTAAACTTAACTTCTGAATGTTGAAATAAATAATGTAACGTAGAAATTAGTTGTGTTTGTAGTTAAACCAGAAGTTCATTAGTGCATCATCACACCTTATTCTGATTGATTTTAAGTTTTAAGATGCATTTAAACTTAAGATTTAATTGATACTAATTTTTAAATATACTTATCTTTTTTTTTTTATCAAATATTTTTCACTTTTTCATCTTTTTCAGACTTATGAAGTATATATTTAATCATTTTGAATGTCAATTTTGTTTTCATTCTCTTGCAATCTTAAATTGATTTAATATAAGGATTCAATAAGATTACTAATTCTGCTTTCAAGTTTACTATGATCTTCCTAATTTAAGCTATCTACATCTTTTCCTTAAACTTAATTATATATTT